ACAATAACCAAAATACAGACAAATTCAATTAGATGCAGTATTGGGAGAATGAGAGACGCATGTACAAGATAAGGAAGATGAGGCAGAAATTCAATTTGTAATTAGTTGTGTAATTGGGGCTTCCATGAGCAGGAAAAATGACAATTTTAAATTGAAACGAAATAGGAAAAAGAAAAAATATGATACCTCTCTAGGCATGAGAGTCCTGGGAATTACTCTGGAGAAAAGAACATAACTAAAGTTAATTAACATTAAAATTTATTAAACCAACATTAATGTCCATCTAATCTAAATTTTTAATTTTTTTTTTTTTTTTTTGTCTTTTCGACGGTCTTTCTTAGAACAATTTTTTCCCATGAAAAGAAAATTGAGCAAAAACAAGAAACTCACCCAAGAACATGGCGACCACCATTGTAAACTGCTTGGGACACCAATCCCATCAAACCAACGCTTCCTCCACCGTACACCAAGTCTATATTTCTTGATACCTTTAGTACACCACAAGTTCAATTTTACTCCACATTTTGTGAAACAAATGTTATATTAGAAGTGAATGAACACTTGTATTTCTTTTCTTGAGATTGTTCGAATCACTAGTATGTGCGCGTGATGCGACACCACTTTTCAATCGTTAAAAGATGCAACGAGTTAATACTAAGTAGAATGAAACTAATTGCACTAACTGTTATGTATGTTTTGCATTTTGATACACATCCTTGACGCTACGTAGAATTCACAAAAAAAAAAATTAGAATCACGTTTGTTATCTTATTCAGTATCTGTTTGGCCTCCAGTTTTTAAAACTTATTTTTTTAACTCATTTTCCATCACACATTTTACGGGATCCACGACTTTTATCAACTTTTCGTCCACACATTTTATCAACTTTTATCAAAATCTACTTAAAATTTAATTTTTATCAAAACCAAAACAAGGGATGATAATTTTGTCCAGCATAACTAGACCAGTTTGTGCATACATGCACATGGGGATGAACACTCTCATTCTCATTCTTTATCCAATATAGGTGCAATTACTACTATTTTTCATTTATATTATTATACAACTCGTGTTAATTACCAATTCTAACCAAAACTAAAAAAGCTTTAATTATTTAAACCCAAAAACAAAGAAAATTATGAAGAGCAGCAAATGAAAATAGATAGAAGAAAAATATATATACCAATTCTTTTCCAAGCTCCACAGCTGCCTCCTTATAACTGCTTCTCTTTCCTGGACTACTCCCACAAAATACACATATTTTCTTGAATTTCGAGTGCTTCATTTCTCCCTTTATTTCCATCTCAATTCCTTCTATAATTTCTACTTGAGCTTGAATGAGTGTGTGGGTGGTTCTTGTGTGTACAAGTTAACCAAAACTGCCCATTCTCTTTTCCAAATTTATAGTAATATTCCCCTATGCCCCCAACCCCTCATGCCCACAACTTTAAGGGACCATGCATATATGAACTTAGTCTATTTTTCAGTGTCCCACAACTTTGACTAATAGTGGATATGGCTATCAAATTCCAGTGGAAGTATGCGAGTGTGGATGTAGAGTCTGCAGGGATAGTACATAGTACAGTATGACAAAGCCAAAATCGAGAGAATAATCCTGGGACAATAAGATCAAGGGCATGTTTGGTATACAGAATGGCGCCACAACTCAACCAAATATCTAGCATGCTATGACAACCAACGTATGATCCTTGGAGCCCCTAAAACTCCTTTATGACTGGATCGAACGGAATCGTATTAGCGGTCACTAAAGAATGGGCGTACCCGGTTCTCTCTGTGTAGGAATACAATACAGGAGAGTTAAATGAAGACGAGAAAGAAAATTTTCATCCATAATATAACCTATTCTTGAATTATTGGAATAAGATTCAATTTATTGTTATTATTAAATATTAGAGTTAACATAATCCTAAATGATTGTCAAATGACTGTTTTTAAAGTTAGATGGAAATTATTAATCAAATGATGAACAATTTAATACTAGTTTCAAATGTGGATCATCATTTGTTATAAGAATTTCCTTACATAAAAGTCAAAACTTAGAGGTCAAGTGGTGGGACTTCCATAGTACCATGTAAAAGGATCATGATTCATGCACCATTATCCTACGACAAGAAATGAATAGGAAAGTAAAGAAGAAATTAAGAGCAGCCATGCTATACAAAACAGGTTCAATGACAGGTTAAAAATTTGGAGAGATATGTGTTGACAAATTATTGAACTGTTTGAAAAAAAAACAGCCAATCATTTTCTGCCCACTACTCTATCACCTCCATTCTCGTCCTTGAATATGTCCAATGAGCATTATTCAATTAAGATTTGTTCTGAGTTAACGCGCTATATTTTTAGAGATTAGACATATTCTGAGTTAACATATTGTTTTTTTTAGAGTACACGCAATTGAATTATGACTAATGAATAATTTTCGAAAAGTCCAAAAAGAAAACAAAGGACAATAAGAGGCAACATGGGGGGTAAGAAACGCAATGGATCAATATGTACAACATTTTCTTGAAGTCTTACTTTCTCTTTTTAGTTAGACATATGTCGTGATCATGTGTGCTCCATTCCCTAATTCCTCACTCCAAACTTTGTCCAATTCAGCCACAGTAAAATCCCACTAAACTTATTCCCTATCCCCCTCCCCTCACCCACTCGAAGGGGGGAAAAAAAACTACAAAAATTTTCATTTCTAACAAGAACTTTTGTTTTTAAAAAGTTTTTTGATGGTCCTTTTTCGATGGAATAAACAAAGAACTATCTATGTGTCTAGCGATGTTTGGGCGAGTTGTGACCAGTGTGCATATGTCCTATCACGTGCTCTCACCTGGCTTGAGCCTTCGCTCTAGTTTGAAATATTATCATGCAATCGTATATTTGGCTCATTAGCTAGCTAACATCAGTGGATGAGTGCCAAACATGAATGTTTCAATCACATAAATAAAGGCAATTCGAAATGAATTATACTTCTTGTACATTCCTT